CTGGAGGCAACCATGGAGAGRCCAAGGAGATTTCGGCCATCAGTAGAAACACAGAGGCTTCTCCAATACATCATTTGCATCTAYTCTGGCTGGAAACTGAAGGTTTTCTTTTTAACTGAGGCCCCCACAGCAGGCACTGCAAGTTYCCCAACCCTGCCTGAAGTTCATTGTCATTCAAGGCACTGACACTCCCTGATCACTCARTCTGAGTCCCCACTCGCTGACCTTCCCTCAGAAATGACCTGAGAGGTGGCACTGACTGCATTTCACACAAGTGCAATGTATTCAGAGAAAAACAGCTAAGTCAAGGGGGAGTCCCTTCCTCTGCTGCCTGGAGTTTCCAAGCTGTCTTTGGAAATGAATCAAATTCATCTCTTCCATGAAGCAGTCCAAAAGTGGCAGTAGCTTGGCCAAGGAGACACTGATTTTGTTCTTCCTCCAGTTCTCATTTGCCAGAACAGCTTTTATTAGATGTATTCACCATATGTATTTTCTTTCCAGAACAAGAAAATCAGGACACTTTTTTTCTATCACCATAGCCATATATCCAAAGCACAGGAAACTGGAGAATCCCTTTTTTTTAGCCTGCAGACTTTTTCCTGGAGTACACGGAACATTATCTCAGTGCATGCATCAGTAGCTCTGTTACCCTTAGCTATTCCAATGCCTTAATTTTTTGCCATATGCTATTCCTCCTCTGCCTGCCRCCCACTGCTCCCCCATCATTCTTGAAATCACAGGCACCTTACATACCCCAAACATTTAATTCTTCCCTGAGGTTTTATTTTCAACCAATGCACCAGAATTTCATCTAGGGCAGTCACTACCAGAATTGCYCTGGAYCTCTTTCTYTTCACTCCATTTYTTTTCCACCTAGAAATTAYGATATCTSTACTTCATGATTCATGTTGAAATAYAGYAAATGGTTCCYGGGGAAAWGAGACCTCRAATTTTCTCCCATCAACATCCAACCACCATCCCGTGCAGCATTTCATGTGCAGGTGGATGAAGGTGTTGACATCCCCACAGCTCCTTGCCCTGCTTCAGGATCTCTGTTATTATTTTAATACCCCTCAGATGGAGGGCAGATACCTCACTTGGCAATACACAACCAACACTGATGCAGAGCTTTTCATCAGGGGCTTCTCGAAGCTGTAGAAAGGAAAATCATAAGTGCTTCCCCATTTTACTGGGAAAATGAAGCAAACCAGACTGCATCATCCCACAGCAAAATGTAGGAGATTTGGTGACAGAATCCCAAATGCTTCTTGGTCCAGCATTTTATGGATTGGACCAAGGTGACTGACTCAGTATGACTTCTTGGTAAGCCAAAACCAGAAGTCCTTTGTTTCAAAAAGGACTGTGGAAATCCCTAGCCTGTCTTAYTGCATCACTGGTGCTCCTGCAACCCCTTCTATGACATTTGTGCAATTTGTGCATTATCAGGGAGGTATAATGCTAAGGGAGAGAAGCCCAGCTAGAAATACGTGAGATTTCCCAAGGGAAATGTTCATATAAGGTGACCAACAGAGGGAAATGAAGGCCAACTCTAAAAGAAAATAAAATACTGTAAAGTATGTAATATTCTTTCTGTGACAGCARTCTAGAGAGCATTTTCGATGAATTACTGTTTTACATTAATATCTGCTGGAGGTTATACCTTTCCCATTCCTCCTCCAAACTTATTACTGATGGTTACCTTCATAGAGCCTTACCCAGCTAAGAAATGACAGAGGTGCATTTTCACAGCCTTCGAGATGTGCAATTATTAGTTTCTTGTTTTTCTCTTTTCTTTCCTTCTTTTGAGACAYTGAGGGATTTCACAAGCCATTTCACTGTGAAAGTTACATGCTGCAGACTTAAATTTTGAAGACTTCCAAAATGCAGTCCTTGGAAAAATACACAGTGAGCATGCACATACACAGCTGTAATTCTGACACCCTCAACATATACTTCCTCYAAACCCAGGACAGAGTTTTCCCCTATTTAAAAGCTTTCACCAAACTCCCACCTTGCCTTAAAATAGAAGGAATAGAGAGAATTAAGTAAAATGTTTGTAACCAGTAACCTGCACAGGACATTGGTCCACCAATGAACACTGCTTTTTGGCCTAGAAATCAGAAATAAAGTATTCCTTTTTAATTTTTTTTATGCCAGGCTCAATGCTGTCCTGGATCAGTGTTACTTATACAAAGCATCCAGTGTTGTATAAGAGCCAGAAGGCCACAGAAGATGACAACATCCAACAGAAGAACATCAGGCTTGGAAAAAACCACCCCAACCATGACAGGACAGAAACRGAGACAGCAACAATACAATTAATTAAATCAGCACTCTTATAACATATTTTTTTTAAATAGAAATACACATTTACAGGAAACAAATTGTTTGCAAGCCACACACTGGCACTCACCCTGACTCAAGAGTTCTGGGATAAATACTAGTTATTACAAAACAAAACAAAACAAAAAAAAACAAAAACAAACAAAAAAGGTAAAAGAAGTAAAAAGAGGAGGAGGGGAAGAAATGCAATAAATTGTAACAAAAAATCCCATTTGCTGTATTAGCTGATAAATTAAATAAAAACTCACTTGCTTCCAGAGAAAGAAGGGAAGGAGAATCAGAACTCGACTTTCAAAGGGTCCATTTGTAAAAGCATCCTCCCAGATCTAGAACTGCTTTGCCAATGTCTGTATGAATAATGACCAATCGAGCAAACAACCTAAGAACACTTCGCACTTAAAGYAGTTTCCATGTCTTACTTCTGATGTCTTGATTCATAGTTCAATAAATAAAGAAAGGTACAAACCTGCACATTCATAATTGTCTCAACTAAAATGGAAACTGGGATCAGGTCTGGCTGAAATCTCCAATTTTTTGAGGCTGCTTGCATGTGAGTTTTAGTCCCAGTCTACCGCAGATTGKTTGGCTCACACGAGCAGAACCAAGTCTTCTACAAGGACTGAGCTATGCAGCTGCTCAATGGCAAAAGGACACCTCTGCTCACACTTCATTAATGCCCACTCCTACTATTTACACAAGAAACTACATGGAAACTACAGGAAGTCACCTTGCTACTCACAAGTTACTCAGTTTTGGCAAACCACAGTTGGCATAATCCGCTAGAGCAACGCAAACGTTCAAACATATAAAGAAGCATTTGTTCCTTGGCTGAGGGCACAATACTAATATTGGACAGAGCAGCTATATGTAGCAATGAAAGAGTTAAGCACAGGAGCTGGGCCACATGGAAAACAAGACCCACATTTAAAGCTCTGCTGGGAACCAAGTGTGAAATGAACTGTTCTGTCACATGCCTTGTGTCTCCAGGGGCATCTACAGCAACACTGCACAGYGCAACACCATCTTTCTCACACTATCTAGTATTTTCTACATACCATCCTCATTTTCCSTCTGCCAGTGCAACCTTCTTGAGGAGAAGGAAGGACTCTCCTAATTTGCTGGCAAAGCCAAAACTCCTTATCAGGTTATAAGCACATCTAATGACATGCAGGTTTGCCCTCTAGTTCCTTCACTCGACTGCATGGTGGGACAGGATGCCAGGAATCCGATCAAAACTGGCACTTTCCACAACTCACAGCAGTTACATGTAACACTGGAGGGAATGAGACACACCGTCAGGAAGAGTAACACAGCACCATGGTTCCAGCACTATTTTTGCATGTGATTTGGATAAAAATTACCCTTGAAAAGTACTAAGCGGTCAGAAGGAAGACTAAGCAGTAGAACTTTTTCATTTGGAAACTGCTGTCTTCCTTTAGGGGTAGGGGAAGCCTCCTCTAAMACTGATGAGGTTTTCCTAGGTCAGAAGGAATTAATACTTTAAGCATGTTTTCTGTCTCATCAATGCTGTAAGCACATATATCCAAGACACTGTTATGGGTAACAGATGGGAGAAGGAACTAATTCAAGTGTCACACAGAAGATTGCAGTGAATTCAAAGTATTTTCATAGAAGGACACRAAGAGGACTGAAACACACATTAATAAAATCCAAACCATCCCATTTACACTGAATAATCATGTATTATGCATTATGAAATGAAATATGAACAAGGCGCACCTATCCCTTTCAAAGCTATCTACAGACACATCTACTTTATTCTAATGGAGGATATTACTGATTAGTTGAATGCCCCAGGTTCCTTAAGAATCATCATCTACACATTCCCAATAGTATATAAATCAACAAGTGCTGGGAGAGGAAAGAGAGGGGAAAAAAAGAAGACTCAAAACTCACTGTGCCTGAGGATCTGATTTTGCCTTCATGATAAGGGAGTTATACTGCAGAAACAGTTCAGCCTTCAGCAATGCCTGAAGTGGCCATGAGATCTGCCTATAATCTGACTGATTGTACTTCCAGGTTGGTGGGCTTTTTGGTTTGGGTTTGGTTTTTTTTACTGATTGCCCAAATGTCAGATATTTGCTCTTAGCAGAGGTAATGTCAAACCAGAAATTCAGTGTGTTATCTGTGGGAATTTGAATGCGGCATTYCCCCCCTTACACTGTAAGTTTTTTAATGTTTTCCCCTGAGAATCATCTGCCACTTACATCAGCTTCCTCTGACAGACCACGACTGAGARCCTTGAGCACTGGCAGCCTGAAAACCAGGTAAGTTTTACAGTTGATTAAGCCCCAAATCAGCATGCTATGGAAAACAAGGTATTTCAAAATAATGAAAATTGTGGATTCACCACATACCCTGTTGCAATGWTGGGCCAGCAACAATAACTAACACAGCAACATGCAAAATCCTCTTGAAAGACTATCAGGAGGTGCTTGTACTGAAGATTCTTGAACTCACCTGGAAGAACTTGGTGAAGAAAGGGGAAGTTTCAAGAAGTCTGTGTGAAGGAGAAAAAAGTAATCTACATACCAAAAAGAGTTAGTCTTGTACTCTTACAGTAACTGCAGGGATACAAACAGCTAGGAAGAAGCTTTCTGGACACTACTATTGATTTCAAGAAATACAAAAGCAGATCAGGTGTTAACATTTAATTTTATTTATAAAAAAATTGTAGAACGTATTAAATACAAACATTTGGAAAAAGCAATCAAGGCTTCGCTAAGATGCCCAGGAAGAGGAAGACAGAGAATCAAGAAGCTTACGAGATTTAGAGTTTTTAAACTAGTGGAAGTAATTGCTATAATTTTTCACTGACATCTTTATAGGTGGTGGCCATTATAGCAACCAAAGTTATTRTCCTTTTTAAAAAACAGAGATATGATTTGCCATATCTTCCCACTCAACCACAAAATGTAAGGAAGCAACTTTTTCCAGGTTAAAAAACAGAGTAATAAACACTATTAATGCATTTACCCATTACCTACATTCTATAACACTAGACATTTCCTTATAATCACACATGGATGTCAAGTTTAGTCCAAAAGAAAAAYTGATTATACTTTTCAAATCTGGATATCCAATAAGGTATTATAAACTTTATACATTTTCCAGTGAACATCAAAATGAGGACAGTGTTTCGAAGTACAGAAACAAAATAACTGAATGCATCATCTACACTACAAAGGCCARCAACTAAGAGGTGAATTGGGTCTAGTAATGTTCCAGACAGCTGGAAAGTCCTATAAATTGCCACTGAAAGGCTGGTTGGAAGACAAATCATGTCACATTCTCAGRCTGCATTAGCCCCTCTCCCTCTCTAAAAGGCTAAAGGTGAGAACTGTGGYTCTCTATTCTGCACCCATGGTAATTAGGGATGGTAAACTGTCATTCTGCTCTCTAMATGGATAAACCAGATTCAAGTTTTCAGAATTTTAGTTTATAGAAAATACCTCTTCTGCCTTTCAAAGAGAGAGAAGCACTTCCACTTGCTGACAATATGGCACTCCCTCCATCTTCCCAGCTTACCCTGTATCTGCTTTCAAGCTGCAGCATAACACACACTGATGTGGCTATATGACCCTAAAGCCAAACTCAGTTCCAAAAAAATCCTGTATGGSGGACTGACTCTTTGGAGATAACCAAACTATTTAAAAAAACAGTGCAGATTAATCTTGGACGGATGAATATTAACAGATATTTCCCATTCTGCCTTTTATTTATCAGAACAGTAAAAAAACCTGCCAACTTACCAGCACTCACAGGATTACTACTGCAAGGACAAGAGTGCCAGCAGTGTTACAGGATACAAAGTGTTGGCAGCCAGCTACAGGACGGACTGGCTGGATACTTGCAAGACCATAGGCAGAATCCTTCTGACAAAGCTGCCCTTTGGGGATGGGCTGAAGTTGCCCCACATATCCTATTTTGAGTAGAGGGTTGAACAAATGGACCCGCATCCTGAACGTGTGTCAGACCCTGTTACCGAGGAAAATATTTTCCAATTATCACATCTACCCTCAGAGCACAGAAGGGACTGCCAGCATGGACACTGCTGGGCTGGAATTATTAAGCAATTATTTGCAGATCAACATTTTCAGGAGCAGCTAAATACCTCTCTTACCAAGCAATCACAGAGCAATTACTGGATATACCAAATAWGCAATTGTTCATTTAGCTGCAAGCTTAAAAACAAGGTCAATTCCAGCAYTCTTCCCAAATTCAGCAACATCCCTTACTGCAACAAAGATATGATTATCCTGCTCTCATCGTGCTCAGTACACTTACAGCACTTAGTGCAATGAGAACCCTGATGCAGACTTGACCTCAGATGAAATGGACAGGTCCATTCCATGCCATTCCCTTTTTTCCTTTTAGGCAATTACTGATATTGATTATTGACTATTTCACAAACCATAACATATTTTTTTAAGATACTTAATAACAGATATTTAACAGCCAGMGTTKACTTGACCCAAAAGCCTTGCTCCCATCCAATGAATTCCTTGCCACCTGCAAACAGGAAATCACATGTAGAGGAATCTTGTGAAGGATGGGAGGCCCGAGYACCAAAGGAATTGAAAGAAACAACACTCTATTTAGTATGCTTACTGCTTCTCACTCAGTGCTCAGCTTAAAGCATGATATACACCACATTTAAACAAATGAAGGGTTTAGTTTTAGTTTTCAATCTTGGCTGTTTGGGTGGTATTTTTTATTTTCTAGAATCTTCAAGAAAAGTGGGCCTTCTATCCTCCAAGTCAAAGACAAGCAATCATGATCTTGGCATCAGGGCCACTCCACATTACACCATCAGAAATCAACACACTGCCCAGCATCCCTACTGACAAGTTTGGAGTTAYACTCTTACAAGCCGCTTGAGTCAGGCAATGGCTCCATTCCAAAAACACACAGCGTTACCAAGAGCAGAGCATGGCCCCTAGTTYCAACCTAGTTTAAAATATTGTACAAATGCATTCCTATAAATCTGATCACAGCAAAATATATAGTGGTGTTTAAATGGAAGGAAAGTTGAATTACAACAACTCAATCTTTAAACCAGTGAGATATATGGGCAATTTTAAAAGAAAACAATTAACTTCTCAAATACAGACATTTGTGAAAYATACATGCACACGCACACTCGCACACGCACCCACTTACTTCACTCAGTGTTAGGTTAAGATTACACAAGGCAATTTTCAAGGTTGCGTTTACAACCACAATGACAAGAACAGCATTTTTGAGGTAGCTGAAGTCAAAGAGCAAACCACAGCACAAGCAAAGAAACAGGTGCTCGCACTCACACCGAGCCCACTCTTTGGAGACGCGTTATCGTGTGCGCAGGGGCGTGTGCTGAGGAGGCACGTGTTCCATGGGGAATGAAGTTCAGCRGCACTGGAGACCTGATAAACTATTCTCCAGAAAAGCTGATGTTGGGAGACCAGATGCACAATCAAGGGACCACGGCTTAAATCACTGCACACCAGCTGAGCTGTGGTAACAGCCTGGGTGCTCTTGGTCTGCGGCAGCTCTGCYGACAGCTCTGTCTCACGGGCACTGAAGCAAAGACAAACGTGGCCGTTGCAGTGTTATTACTCAGAGCTGTCTGTCCCACTTCTCTCCTAGATGCTATTGCTGGGGGAAAGGTACTTGTGCCCCTGTCTCACCCGCTCCAGCTTTCAGCCTAGCGTTCAAGTTCACGCCCACCTCCACACTACTGCTCGCCAACAGGAGCAGCCGAGACACAGACTTGAGCTCCCTTCTTCAGGTGCAGCAACACCTTTGCCACACAAATAGTGCACAGATGCCAAACTGCCACAGCTTTGAATCACCAGACTTCATCTCTCCAAGCCCTTTRCTAGCCTACAATGAGAGGAGTTGAGCTAACCTCACAGCAAATGMCAGGCAATGTGGGCAGAAGGGGAAAGAGCTGTGGCTGGTGGACAAACTGCCTCAGCCACAGTAACTGGATCCTGTCTCTGGGCATAAACAGAGCTTGATCCTGCCCAAATCACAAAACTGTGTGAAACACACTCATACACACACACACATAATGTCATCAAGAAGCTTTCTATAAATCAACAGTTTGCATGGTTTACTGCTGAAAGTCTTGAAGATGGGATGGAAAACATGGCAAGATGTTTTGCAAAGGTGGAAAAAAAAATTTGACCTCTTGCGATTAGGTCTCTGTTGTGTAGTTGCTGTATGAGAGAGATGGCACAGATGAGAAGTTGTTATTCCACTGCCTTCCTCCAGTAGTCTGATGCAACTCTGCCTGCTCTTTGTATTTGCTCAGAAGATTTTTGGCTTCTTGCAGATCCTGAGAAGAGTTTTCCCCATATTCTTCTTTCAGCCACTGCCTGAACTGCAGAAATTGAAAATATATATACAAAATGATGAAACAATAACATGAGATTGATGGGGAAGTAAAACTTCCCYCTGTCCTGTCCAAGAGAATTTCAATAGCCTTTAGGATCACAAAGAGTTTAAAGAAAAGCACTCCAAATATTGCATACCCTTCAAAAGCAGCACAGAATGCACAGCATAGGAACACATATATTTGAAATCACTGAGACCTCTTACATCCCCTAAACTTAGATAGCTGCGGAACAATTTGGCTGACTGGAGTAACACAGAGAAAGGAACACCTGCTGGGAAAGGACACCCTGGACTTAATATCTCCCTGTTCCTGCTGCATACACAAACMGTAAGATGCATTGGCATGGAAGCCAATATGATCAGCCAACTTGCCCAAGCCACAACAGCCTGCGAGAAGATTGAAGATCTGAAGGTGTATCACTCTTGAAAGTTTTTTATCTTGAGCCCACAACACCAGTAGTAAAAAAATGTAGTGTAGATATCCTAATAGGTGTCTTCTAGGAATAAACAGTCCAGGAGTTTTACAAGCTATAGAATAGAGTCCCATATGTTACTGACATGAATGACTGAATACAGCACACCAATGTACCAGGMCCAGCTGATGGTGAGTCCAGCTCTGTATCCTGGTATGAGAGTAACCAGATGTAAATGATGAGGAACAAATCAAGCAATGGCAGGGCAATAATGCTGRGACCTTTTCCCTGGCCACTTCCTCAGCTTGCAGCAATTTTCAGCTCAGGTGCTTTCAGAGGCTGAGGCAGTATTTTTGTGTTTGATAACACAAATTAATTATTTTGTCAAGAAATCACATTTTAGACCCACAGTTTTTTACCATAAGATATCTACATGCCAATAAGCTCCGTAAGTAAATATTGTATACAACCCCCACTCCTCTTCCTTGATTTGGACCTGCCAATACATAACTGTCTCATAGGAAAGAGGTGAAATTTTACATGTCCACTTCTTCAATCCACTCAAATCTATCATTTCTTTGCCAATTGGAGAATTTGAGTCCAGCTAAGGACAATTCCAGCTAAGGAACTGTCCAATTCCTGACAATTKTGTTGAGCTTATCTGCAGAAGCAGCTAGTAAAAACAACTGTTGTATCCCAGCGGGGACAATACTAATTTTGCAAACTTTAACCTTCATAGCTTTGTTCTGTTTGGGGTTCATGAACATCTTGATTCATAAAGATCATTTACTCAACATAGTTACTTCCTCCCATTCCTTAAAGAAGTCCTGAGGCAAATCTGAAGCCTCAGGCCACCATGTGGAGGTTTGGAASAGGTGCCAACTATGTTGTGACCTTAGTGACTAAACCTCATCCTGTAAGACCGAGATCTAAAGGAAAACATTCCAGAGAGCCCACAGGATACCACCACCCTACAGTGGCACAGGAAAACACCCAGTGCTGCTGAAATCTGAAAGAAGTTCACGCCCTTGGCAGATGGCATTATTCCACTGAAATCAGGTGTGTAAACAGACACCTGCTAAGGATGTGGTTGCTCTTAAGAGACAGTAAGAAACTACAGCCCAGCCAGCAAATACAGGTGGATACTTCTTTTTGCAACCTAGTGCCTCCCCCTCAGTGAATAAAGACAGAATGTCTTTACGACATGTCWAACGAGACGTTACTGTCTTTATCAGGCTATTTGCATATAGCCTTAATTGTCATTGCTGTTAGACCAAACCAATTAGAGTAGAAATGACTGTAAGGGAGGAAGGAGACAAGTCTGGAAAGTCCCCCTCTGACTTTTGTCTTTTAAAAATCAGTTATTCTGCCAYTTACACCAGTTCCAAACGATCCAGGAAACATTCAGTTGAATATTAAAAAAAGGCAAATATTTACAGTTGCAAACTGCATCATGCAAAACAWATGGTAATTTCTAAACTCTGAGCTTTCTGCTGCAGAATGACAGGGATGGACTAAAAAAATCAACATCCTTTGCCTCGTGTATTTTGCTTTCCAATTTTGGTTTGCTTCTGTTGTTGTTATTTTTAATAAGCACAATAGGCACAAAAACCCACACAACAACAACATGCTGAGCAATGGAAAATGATGGGGAGTAGGCCACAGTAGGCTGGTAACATAAATGGAAGTCACCAATCGCCCCCAGGGAGCAGGTCTTTTGCGTGGGATGGGKTTTTTTTGGAGTAAGACACTAATCTTTGTTTTATGAAACCCCCTTTGTCAGCCTTACTSTTCTGTCAATTCTCCTAGTCCTACAAAGCCTTCAAAGGCTAGTAAGGAAAAAAAGGGTCAGATTTAAGGCTGCCCCACACATAGAAAATTTATTGTCTTAGCACCAAAAGGGGGGGGGGGGTCACAACAATAAATCATAATGAGGACTTAGTTTCTAACTCCTGAACAGGAAAGATTTGTGATCATGAATTCTTTCCTGCTTACTATGCCAAATAAATGTGTTGGGGGGAAACCCACTATTTTTATGCAACTGGTASTTATATAGGTTGATCTTTTCGCTATGTTCTGAGCAACTCACCCTTTAGCTTTCACCAGCTTCTACCTCTCTAAGGGTGTCAATCTTGAATTCTGTCTTAGCTCATATGAAGCAAACACTAGCTGGGCAGGAGGTGTTTAGATGCTGTGCTTCATCCCTTCTCCCATCCAGCATTCCCTGATACCTCCAGATGTATCTGTATCTCCTTATTGGCGCAGGCTGGGCTAAGAAACCGCTCCCTCAAAGCAAAAACAGGGAGTCAGATAAACCACACAGACCACAAAATAATGAGAAGCAGCCCACGATCTGACTTGGAGTTGTGTTTCACATCTCTTGTTTGTAGCTCATTTACCTGATCAACATCATGTTTTTCAAATTCCTGTAGCTGTCTCTGGAAGCCCATGTTTGGATTGGCRCAGGATCTCGCTGCGCGGACGACAGACAGCGCATCTTCCCAGCCAAAGTCTGTGATGGTCATGATGTAGGCAACCACCAGTGTGACACTCCTGGAGACCCCTGCAAGGCTGCATGGAAAATGAGGTGCAATACATGAAGCAGTGCTGTACTTCACCTGCCCCAGCTAAAGGCATCACTTCCCAACATCACGGCAGACAGCTGTGTGGCTTGCCACAAGAAAGAAATACGATAATATTTGAATTAAATGGGTTTGGTGCTGCTTTTCCAAATGTTGCAGACAAAATCTACACRATCAAGAAAGTGGGTTCTGAGTGGTAATTCATATGAGACTGAAAAGGAAGAAAAAAGCATAGTCTTCACAAAGCCTAGCCTTCACAAAGCCTTCACATAGCCTTCACAAAGTCTTCACATAGCCTTCACAGTGCACACATTCTAAATTAGAGTTGGGGTTTAATAAAGCAGAAATAAATCACCCACTTTCTTTCTTCTGCTTATATAGATCAGACCAGTGAAATAAGACTGTTCCCTCTCCACCATGAATTAAAGCTGCAATTTCATAGGGCCAAAATGACCTTCAACTGAACCGTTAAAAGGTGARTATGTCTGGTTGCTTGAGTTCCTCTTTCTGCTATCCACTGCACTGTGCAGCTTCAAYTCTCAAGACTCCAGCTTCCCCACAWGAAAAGCTGGGATAGAGTAAGAATCATTCATTATGGCTGGTTGAACAACACCGGACAAACTCAGAACCATTACTATTATAAGTATAAAGAATGTATTTGAGTAACATTTACCATTTCAAGAACATTTTATGCTTCTGAAATCCTTCACAAATTTAAATATGTATTTTTTAAAACCCTATCAGAATTCAGACTAGATATTCCTGTTCTCCATAACCAACACTGATCAAATGGCTCACACACAGCCCTCTCATGACTCAACAGAAAAGTGAGGATTTATGCTCAGGGCCTGTGTACAAGTCCAGTGYTCAAATCATGAGATGACTGTGATTCCAGATTTAGACTCAGATATGTATGTTCCTTGGACATACAGCATAAAGACCACAACCAATAGCTGAGAGCAAGAAAAAACCCGGGGTAGGATTTCCTTTTCTACTCTCTACAGTCCCAGGAGCATCTCTYCAATCAGGGACTTGCTAAAAACAAATGCAACATTTGAATACTTCAGCAGTTCAAAGAAAAAAAGAGGAAAAATATCAATTTTTGTTCAGACAATTTTTTAAACAACTCTGAAGCCCCCAAAACAGCTGTCAGAGAAGATAATCAAATTGTAAGGATAATGGCAATCACATTTAGAAATACAGTGATTTAAATGATGGGAAATAAATAATACATGTCTCCAGTTAACACATTCTTAGTCAAATCAATCCTTAAAAAATGTTTGAAATGAGAAAGAAAGTCAAGCAGAATTTTGTGGGCTCCTTTCATCTCCAGGCAGCTGCCCATTCCAGAGACTCAAAAGTCCTAGCATAAAGCTTTACTGGTATTTGTAAATCTTCTGTGGCTTTTTGAATAAAGGGGGCAGTTCAGCCAAAGAGAATTTTGCTACAGAGTGGAGATGATYACTAACATTAAAATTCTGAATATCCACATCAAGGCAGAGAAGCCCTTAAAAAGTTTTTTTAGCAAGCAGTATACGTACCAGTGAACTAAGCAGCCTTCACCTGTGAGCCTGCACTCATGGATAAATTTGATGCTCTCTCTGAAATGCCTTGCTCTGAAAACAAAAGCAGAAGGGGGATAAAGAAAGTGCTCTATTTAGTAAAATCACTACTTAGAAAGAGAGAATTATATCCGAAAGCTCACTTAGYGCTGTTTCTAGATTTTAGAACTGAATATAGGACTTATAAAGTAAAAGCTACTGTCTGCCAATGAAACACAAAATTCACTGGCATAAGTTATTGTCCACTCTGTCTGAGTAAGAAATTGGTATTTTAGGCACTACAGTGTGATAAACATTAACAAACATTTTATTATTATATCTGTCAAGTCTGTAATTCAGTTTGTTTTATTCCTCTTAAAAGTTGCAACTTGACCTCACATGTCCTCATGTGTGCCCGAATGTCAGATGGAACTCAGCACAACTATATGAGCAGCTCTCCAGACATACTGTCTCTCACAAAGAGAGACCACCCACTACCCAAACTTTTGTTTAACTTTGACTCTACCTCCTGCTTTAAGCCATATGCTAGGGCATATCTAAACRCTAGGACTTTCTTCTTGGCAATGTGAAATCTCTCCCTTTTGGCCTTGCTATGAAAAAATTCTCAGTTCAAGCCCTGGCTTCTTCAGTTCCTTCCAGTCTTCTCTTTTCAGACAGCAAGAGTCCTTTTGCCCATATTTAGGGTGTCAGCCTACAGCCTCCCTGTTTTAAAGCAGCACAGGAGAAAACGTAGAGGACACTCAGCAAATTTTAGTGTTTATAATCTCATTATCCTTTACAYATGCCTCTTCATTTTAAAGCATAGTGAAAGATGGCAACTGGGCAGCTGTCATCATCTCAGTGAACATGCAGCACTGCCTCTTTGCATTCCAAGCCTGTTCCAAGCTGCTCACCCTGCCTTTCCAACTGCGAAGCCTTTGGCGCTGCCTGCAGTTTATCACAGTTACAAGCAGCAGCTCTCAGTCCAACAGAGCTGAGTTCACTGTGGCCTTGGAATGCTCTTGCAGTACAAGCCCAGAAGCAGCAGCAATRTGGGCAACGTGGACAGAGGAAAGAGGTTCTTAGGGGGCAGTCATTACCAGGCCTGCTGGCAAAGGCGAACCTGAAAGCACATTGAGCTCAACACCCATGAAACACAACGTCCTGTATTCAAGATGTTTCCCCTCTCTGGGTGAATATTATACCACAAGGGTAAAAGAAAAAAACCTCAGCCCAGCACCAGCAGCCACACAAAAAATCAGGAATACCCACATAAAAGGAAGCTTCCCTTCCTGCCTAACAGTGCAGCTGCTGATACTGTAAACACTCACAACCTGGAGGACAACACTGATGCAACAGTGTCACTGCCTGTGGAACTTGCGAAGGCAATGACATCTAACTGGAATAAACAAAAGGAAGGATCTCAAAGTCCAGAACTCCCTCTCCAAGGCAGTTCCTGCATCACKGAATACAACATGGAAAACACAGCTAGAGAAGCACTGAACAACTTATTTGGAAAATCTCAAGGCACAATGCAATCCCAAGCTTTAGGACGGCAGGTCAACTCGGAGTTTTATGTTTCTCAAGAGASTGATGTAGTGTGTGGGATAAGTGAAGACAAAGCCTTAAAAATGCACCTGGACTCAGACTACTGCAGCAAAACACTGTCAGTGGCTGAGCTCCAACAAATCATGGTGCTCAGGTCTGCCAAGGGAACACAAGAGGTTTCATATAAACGATCTTAGCGGACAAATGAGATGCCTGGCTATGTTCAAGAGGCTTTGCTATCACACAAAGAAGAAGCACTTAGCTTGAGATTGAAAGCATTCACTCAGATGAAGCTTGGTTAGGTTTGCATTGGCAACGTACTGATCTTTTCATCTTTTCTTTTTCTCTCTAGAAAATCTGGCCAGGAGGGCAGCTTCATGCACCACTGAACTAATTTCAATGGTCTCGCACAAGTTTCAGTTAGATACTTCGATGCCCTGGTTTGAAAAGTATCTGTGACTGAGCAAAACACCTCTGCAAGGTAGTAAACATTGGGAATCCTGTTCACCCAGTTCTYTTCACCCTTCCTTACTGCTGATGCTCAGTCTGCTGAAGTGCTGTGGAGCATGTTTACAGGCATTCACGAAAACGAGAAGAGAAATAGTCACATCTAGAATTAGTGCTGCTCTGTAGAACCCTGGCCCATCCTCATCTRGAGTCAGTGAAAAGGAGAAATGTACTCCACAACCCTACCACATCAGGGTATCTTCTGGAGCCAGCAAACACAACTGCCTAAGCCCATTTTCAATGTTATAGTAAAATCATATTTCGATGAAAACTAAGGTTGAGGACCAATTAGCTGTGTGGCAAGTGCCAGACACAAAGAAGAATGGCAAGCCTTACATGAACCACAAAACAGTTGATTATCATCTCTAACAGGAAAGCATTTGACAAATGTGTTGATTTGCAGCCCATTTGTTGGACTTCAGGAGAATTTATGACACAATATCTGGCTTTTACATCTCCCAGCTGAAAGCTGGGTCCTGAACTGCATCATCTTTACAGTGGGAAAACACCAGAGGAAGAACCACAGGCACAACACCCCTACCAGGATGTTGTAAAAGTGATCTAAACTCATGCATTAACATGCTGCATAATCCAAAACTAGACCAAGAGCAGAGTCATGATACCAGAGCTATATTTTCATTCATTGCTAGTAGGGCTTCTATGAATACTTATAAACGTTAAAAAACAGCATCCAAATCAGGACAAAGCATCTCAATGTTTTCTTCCTTTGGTAATGTAAAAGCAACAAAAATCCACCGAAATTTTCTCCTCATAATAGGTCATCTGGCTTTGGCATTATCATCACTAACCACCTGCCTGTTGGAGGTTAATTCCTTAGAAACACACAGCCAAAGACTATTAACTGGAACAGGGCAGGAAGGGAAGATTTTATTTCTATAGAATTAACTTTTTACGACAAGTTCTATAGGAGATGACATTTCTGGAGCAGTTACTGGTCCAAGGTTAAATTCTCACAGACCAAAGAAAACATTGATTTAACATCTAGGAAGCACCTTGAGTCTCAAAAGCAACTACTTTCATTCCATGCTTGATAGGGGCAGAACAGGGGAGTAGAATCAAGCTTTTTAAACACTTCAGTGAATACCCACATGCTAACAGGGGAATCCCTGCTGTATTTCCCTGGCAGCTCATCCCTCTGAGGAAGAGAACTCGACTAAACGAGTTTTCTTAGGAGTAAATGTGCATTACACATACAAGAAACTAGAGGTTTCCTACAGAAAAAGAATCCACAGTCCCCAAATTCAGTGGTTAAAGCCTTCTAGTTGTCCTTGCTGTTGGGATACAGACAAGAGAGCAGTGTGTACCTGGTCAGTTGTGACCTGTGCCTGTCAACCATTGCTCAGAAAACACAAGGACCTGCAATACAGGATCTGCTTTGGTTTGTTTGTTTTTTTCTCCMTGACAGCAGCAGAATCGCTCTTACAGAAGAAGAGGGCAGATACGCATGGGTGTTTCAGAGGAAGCAATTCCCTTTCCCRTTTCCCAGCTATCCCTCCCTCCACAGTGGGCACGGGCAGTATTGGTTAACCACTCCTAGATAAGATCGTTTCCAGTCTTCACAGGCTGAACAAAGATAACTTCCTCTTGCTGTCAGAAGACTGTATGCACAAAACAAGCAACAGCGCTATTTGTGAGCATCATGATTTGATTCTACTTGAAGGCTTGGACTGTATAAAGCAAAAAAAGAAAAATCAGTTACTCATCAAGTTTTATTTTAAGTGATAGAACGTATCAGTATTAGAAGTAATGACATTTGCCTGCAACCACCTGATACCAARGCAAGTATTTTAGATGCCTGCAGCGTAACAGAAACAATACTCATGCAAATATTCTATCTTCTTACTGAAGCCTTAAGAGCCTTGGTACTGCGCCAGACGGCTCAAGCACAGGAGCTGGTTCTTCAATGCAACCCCTTGATGTTTAACAGTGAGGGAACTGTACATTGATTAATATTCATTATAAATGCCATCCTTTCTCTTTCCATTCCAAACTGATCCACATCTCTATTAACAAAGGAAGCAGATCTAGAAAACACTGTCAGAAATGCTACAGACCTCAAAAGGCCAATGAACAATTAATGACATGTTAATGTCTTCCTCTAATCTCATATTTGCTTTCTTTCCCAAAAGGRTATTTCTTTACATTTATTTATTTTTATTAATTTTAAATATTAAGGCCATGGAAGTTGTCCATGACAAAGGCAGTTAGCTATCTGCCTTCTCATTACAGACCTGTCTTGAAATTCAGGGTTTTGGGGGATTTTTTATTGGGGTTGGGTTGGGGTGTGGTGCTTTTTTTTGACTTTCCTTCCCCTAAAATCATGATAGAAATGCAGAATGAAAAGGCAAATCATCACACATCAAGTGCCACACTGGAATCCTTCTAGAGTATGAGTATGCTCTAAAAATATCCCCTGAAAGCATGAGTCGGAATATTRTTGTGATACAAGAGAAAAGCAGTGCTGCATTTCCTTCCGTACCTACCAGGCCCTCTTTCCACTACTTGTTTCTCTACAAACTTGGTAGCAGGATGTGGCTGAAACCCCCCTCACCTATTCCCAACATAAACAGTGARCTCTAGAAGAAAGAGCTGGTCACCATCCAAGTTCCTTTGTTTTGATTTCTCTTTGGAATCAAGACTTGCTATGCTCAATTAAAACCARGGGTAAGTCAATTAGTACTACATGAACATTAGCAAAGATGAGAAAAAGCAAGGCTGGGATGCCCTAGCTGCAGTACCTATATCCTCAAGGTAAGAGTCACTGCAGGGCAGAAAGCTCCCTGCTATGCCAGCTTATACTAAGAGCAGCAGGGACTTCTAAGGCAGGTTCAAGAAATCCAGAGCAGAYAGTTGCAGGAGTACTTTGGCCACAGGGATTTTGTTTTGAAGGCCCACTGTGAGGAATTTAATTCCCTTGAGGCACCAGGCTTCAAACCTCTTTTAAATACTTTTTTTTGCTACTGGATGGAGATGACACTAACAACAAAAGAGGAGCCAAGCACAAGGACGTACAAAAACAGTGGCTAGAATAAATTGGGACTGAATGAGGAGCAGAGTCACTAAGGAATTCCTGAAGTTTAAGGCTGCAAATGAAGATTGTTTACATACTGAACCTCCTACAAGCAATTACACACTAAAAGCAGGCTGAAATAAAGAGTTAACTGTGTTTTCTTAATGGATTAAAACCCATGCTTGTCTAATGCTCATGAGAGATCAGAAACAGAGCTTTCAGTAAATTTTAAAATAGGCATCATGGTACCATGGGATTTCTGAGGTTTTGTGAATTTTTTTTTTTTAAAAAAAACTTACAAGTTCTGCGAGGGTGAGTCAGCAGCAGGAATGCACAGATACTTCATTCCCTGTGTAAAGAAGCAAAAAGGAAGATTAAACATTTATCTATGGGAACATTTATCTAATGGTAAGATTAAACATTCATCCAGCAATGCACAAGTTCTGCTCCAGATGGGTGCATATTATTGATTTTGAGGACAGAACACCATCATTCAGACAAACAGAGATCGTCTCTATACAATCAGATTTTAAAAGCCTTGCTTTCACATCTTCTTTGTTGCTAAGACACCAGCACATAGCTTCTCCCAAGTCATGCTTCTCCCAAGGCTCAACAATGAGCTTTTAAATAAAGGAGCATCTTTATTAAAAAGATCTAAACTTCCTTCTGAATACATAATTGTTCTTACATTTCTAGKAAAATGAAGTTGCATCTTCTTCTGCCCTTCCCTTTCTCTAAACAGATGCAACAATCTGAAATTGTGATACGCAGTTTCTTTTGATCTCATAAAATCATTTTTCTTTACCCAGTTGATAAACCTAACAAAACGTATTTCAAAGAAGAAACATGTTTGTGGTATGGATTTTGGTTTTTCTTTTTGGAAACCTGCAAGAAGGACAACCATAAAACTTGTATTTTTCTTCCACAAAGTCGGCCTCTCTTTCTTAGTCAGCTAGCATTCATTAAGTTACAAGATTGATTAGGGAAGTTAGACAATCATTTCTGATGCATTAAAAATGACTGGATATATTTAAACCAACATATCTATAATTCTACACTACTGCTTTGCATTGTCAATGCTCATTTCAACTGTCATTTTATTTTCAAAGCTTGSTTTGCTCCTATGACTGTTAAGAAACAGAACACTTCTGAAAGCACATTTAACTGACTTCYCAAATAGCACTTCCAAGAACATAGCTTGCAATTCAGACACACAATAACTAAATCATTTACAGGAACTCTTTTGAATTATTTCAGATGCTGAGATATGAATTCTTCAGATGCACTTGTAAAGATAAGAATTCAAGCAAAAGGGTCACTATAAAATGCACCTTACTTTATSTTTTTGTAAAGATACACACCCCTGCAATAATCCCTCACGTTCAACACCACACATGAAGTGACACTTCTATGTGCAAGAGATCCTTTGCCAACAAGGTAGAACACAATCTGCACCCACCAGGCAGTTCATTTGCCAGCTGGGGRAAGGAGAGGAATTTTCACTGCTCAAGTGTGTGGCTACCTGAGGCAGCATCATCTACAAGCCCTTTGCTTTGTTGGCTCAGAAACCCGTCTTTATTYCCCCTACACACACTTTGTTTCTTCATTTGCCATCTCACACCAAGGAGCAAGCCCATTTATAAGAGATCCTGACCCCAGCACCTCTGCAAGATGTACAAACTCATCTGCAAGATGACACTCCTCTGCAAGATGCACAAACTTCACCACAATGTCATAAAGGTCGTGGGAAACCAGGAGGGCTCTACARCCATAAGCTGATCCAAAACAGATTATACAAACACATTCATTTAGAAAGACAGTGCAGCAGTAATACTGATATTGATATTGATATTGATGTTGATATGTTGCTGAGCCAAGGATGATTAATTATACTGACAGATTAATTAGGACAATAAGCACTTGTATGACACATCTGAGAGGTTTATGTTGGACACTAGTATTCACTTCAAGTGAGTCACTCCAGTAAAATGAAGGCCTGTGACCCAAAAGTACATTTACATGCTATTCTTTCCCCATCACCTCTAGCAACTCCATACCATTGAAAAATTGAAAACTGACAGCAGGACATGGGTTAAGTCCAGAGTGCAGTACATGCCAGAAGGTTCGCTCCCCCAGCACGACTGATGCAAGTTGTTCCACAGGTTTCCGAAGCKCTGGCACATGCTGYGTGCTTTTCACAGGCTGAGTGCAGAGGGGCTTTCAGATCGTGCTCACTCTAAAAGCAGAAGTAGCACCAGCACAAGTTTAAGACCCACAATGTTCTTTTTTTGTCATGGATGGTTARTTCCAACTCCTGCAAGCAAGCATGAAACCAGCCTATGAGAGACCACACATGGTCCTGAACGGCTCATCCAAAGCCTGATCCCAGRCATCTTCAGCATTTACAACTCCCACTGAAGCCCACAGCACACTTTTACCACGGTGTTTGCAAAAGCATCAGCCTATTAGTCTTATTAATCAATCTTCTCAGAAAGGAGATGGTTAAAGTTACTGGAATTTGGTATTTTGACTGATGCATATCACCTTTGTTTTTGGAAGGCTGTGGTGATGGACTCCTCCCTGTGAGAAAATAATCACACACTCAACTCAGAAATAGTTAGAGGTGGGATTTCAAAAGTACTGTGAAGTGACCTAACCCATCTCCCACAAAAATCAACAGTGAAACTCTCAGCGACTTCGAACCAAATACGGTTTGGCCAGAGTTGATAACTCCCAAGGATCCCACCCTACCATCTAGTTTTGCKTCTCTTGGTTGAAATAATAATTATAATAATAGGATCAAGTATCATTCATCATAATTGGATACCTGAAATACAACACCACTATAAGACTGTATGAGGCAGGTATTCATATGAGACTCAGAATTTTTTGCATAGCTWTTGCTATGTTGATTACTGGAATTAGACTTTTCTCACACATGCTATATAGACTTTCATTTTTAAACTTATTAGCAATAGGAAGATACTTAATTACTGMACCCTGCTGTTTGTGACTCTTTTTGAAAAAAAAAGCTACCTGGGATCACAATATTTGTATATCTGTGCCACAAGACACTACTGTCTTTCCTGTGCACATACCCTGCAGATACCATCGAAGAACTGTCCCAAAGGGACCTTTCAAAGCAAAACAGTTTATACCAAGCACACAAATAGCTACCTATAACATTTTATACATGGTACTAGCATGCGAGAAAGACAGAAACATCACTTTTCTTACCTAGCAGTTTGTTTGCCATTCTGAAACTGCAAACCATAAAATGTGAAGTGGCCACAATCACTGGAACATTGACTAAAACAGAATTAGCTAAATCAAAAGACTGTTGAAGAATCGAGCAGACCAGCTTCTTGCGAAAACTTCAACAGGCTCTCAATTTGTCCCAGTCAGCTATTTCATTATATAAACCTGAATACAGTTGCAGATGCAATATCCCAGGTTGAACCAAAACTGCGTATTAATAAAGTTGGAAAGACAAATACAAATTTTATGTCAACCATATGGAAGTCTTTACTTCTTTTTAAATTATGGATACTTTGTTCCCTGATAATGACAGTTCTGTAAAATCATTCAGTGAAKGAAGAACAACTCAAACCAGGTATTGGGCCACTTCACCTACACACACTAAATTAGGTGCTACAGAGCAGCTATTCATTTCAAAACATGGTATTTTATTCAAAACAAAGGGAAAAGCTTGCAAAGSACAAAAACTGATGAAAAGAGAAACACTATTTTAAATCCTATACATCCCTTCATTTATTGAATTCTCTTGYATATACATTGTAACTCAAACATTTCATCAGCTGTCAGCTATATCAGTCATGCCTTATCTCTCCAAACATGCTTTTCATCAGAGTACCCAAACAAAAACAATTGATCCAACCTTTTTAATTCCACAGAATCTATGTATAGTCTTAGGTAATAAAACAYCCCAAACATATGGAATGTGTACAGACCCAAGCTCCTAGGGCAATGAGGTGCTGAACACAGCTCCTTTCTGCTCATGTCAATTCACTACTACTTTCCACTTGTTACTTTGAAATCACTGCTCACTTTCCTTTCTCCATCAATCATCTTTACCACCAAGCATCCCTACCTTCCAACACACATACACTAAACTTTTTGCTTATTACTCACATRGTGATCCTAACTGATGCCCACATCAAATAAATGCAGTGCTTCCTTTCTTTTGGTGTATTTAACCTGTTAACATTGTTCCCCCAGAAAATYAGTAAAATCAAATATAATTTACTTTTTTATTTTCTGTTTCAGCAGAGTAACCACCAAAACTAGATTTCTGTCTCAGGCCCTGAAACTGAGTGCTGCAGTTAAACCGATACAGTGAGAGCTAACAAAACTAGAGCAAGTATTCAGATTTCAAGATTGTCGAAGATGAAACAAGGGAGAGTTAAGTAAAATTTCTAAAATTCACTGTTATTTGAGAAACAACAACACTTGTGTGATTTCATCATAGATTCTGGAATTAATAAGTCAGTTCTGCTGCAGAGAATATCAAGGCATTAAAACAGATTTAGGTGCCTACATATTTATGCAGAAATTTGACAATACAATCAATAAGGTATTTGTGGAATTGCAGTAAATATTCAGGTTTCTAGTTATTTTAAAGGTTGATCTACTAYGGTTGGAAACTGAACAGCTATGTCACATTTGGAAAAGTCAGTAAGACTAAAGAACAAGACTTTCCCAATATTATTATCTTTAAAAWATGGTAATTAAGTCTTTGTTATTAAATCCAGTATTTCATTCMGTGGTCAGGAATGTAACAATACAATATAAGGAAAACTCTGTTTCCATCCTTCTTAAATAGAATCTATTTTAAAAACTCCAACTTCYTTTTAACTAAACTTGTAAAAACTGGAATTTGTTTTTTTCTAGAACATGCAGAATTTTGCAGTAGCAAAATGACATATCTGTAAGTGCTAAATGCCAACTAAGGGGTCAATGACTGAAAACAGGACCTCTGCAGAGCACACACAAATTTAATTGTACAATACCAAGAATTATTTCAACTCTGAACAGGATAAGGTGCAAAAAGTACTGTGAGACAAATGCAGCACCTATATGGATGGCTGCTCCTCTGCAACAATCAAAGATATTCTTAAATCATTGAGAGTGATATTCAGTTTGATTACACCCTAAATTACACTAACATATATTTTATATGGAAAGGAAACTGTCTGGAAATTTTTATACAAAATGAGCCCTCACAAAACAGCGTGAATGAGAACAAGGACTAAAAATGCTACTCATTATTTCATGTTTAGTGGGTTTCCAAGTAATGATTTTACAGACCTTTTTCAGAACATTGTCTCC